TTAATTTTCGGTACAATGTCCCATAAGTGCCTTCTCCACACAACAGCATCAGTTCTTTTGCTAAGGGCACTTTTCGTATAGTGCCTTGTACAAAATGTTGCCCCTAATGGTATACTCACTGGCCCGCTTTTACAAGTTAAATGAAAGTAAAGGATTGTGTGGGAACCCATCCAACTCTTGATTCCCTCCTTCCTCTTTTCAATTTCACGTAAACCAGGAGACCAATTGGAAGAGCCGATCATTTCAGCAGGAAATGCCACTTTATTTCGATAGCAACCCACCCCTCCCAACTTGGTTGACCTTGTACGCGACTGCCGCGTTTAGTTTTTTTCTAAAGAGCGCCATCATTTCAGTTTAGGAAAAGGGTTACCCGTGCTTTCCAATATAATACGGGGAGGGAAAATTGCTTTTACTCTGCACGCGCGAGGTCAACTTGAGTGCAGAGGGTCAGAAAATCTTCTTTCATTTTGGTTTCGAGTCCAGCAAGAGTGAAATTCAAAACCAAAATAAAAAATCGAAACCAAAATAAAAACTAAGATGTTGTATGAGGCTGTATCACTTTACTGTTGCCATTTCGACAATATTTGTGATTGGACTTTCAAGTTCCTCTGGGGCTGGTCTGGTGATTGGTAACAAATTTGATGTAGGCCTACTCGAAATCCTTCTTTAATACACGAAATACATCGCGATTTTTTCTATTAATGGAGCGAAGCCAAGGCAAATGAAACATTTTACTATACGATTGATCGAAACAGTCCATCGAGTGTCGATTAAAAGACGCCGTTAATACGCATTCTTTACTACACTTTTGCTTGTCATTCAAATTTTTCCTGGCAAAAAATACCAGAAATTTAATCCACGCATACCATCTCATATCAAACGAAATTACAGACCCTTAGCAAAACGACAAACTACCGCCAAAATTCTGTCACGCTATCTCTACAGTTCTTTAAACTTACCAACCAAGGCTTTTACAGATTCCACCAGCAAAAAAATTCTTACAAGAACAGTAACTGAGAGTGTCACTTTCCAAAGTACACTTCCCACTAGAGCAATACATTATTCAAACAGTTTGAATTAGTTTTTCCATCAAATAAGATGCGAGAAAAGATATGAATCTTTTCAATTATTTCCATTCATGAACATCAAAGGGGCCCAAAGCATTTACTGCAGGATAATTGTCAACGTAAATCGCATCGTACTTGAACTCGACAACAATATTCAATAATCTTTAAACTGTAATGAGACGACTCGGTAGCATAGTTCATTGTGGTTTAGTTTTCCATTTCCGAAGCATTTTCGCCACATGCTCGCTAGAAGTAAGTTAGCAAGGTCTCCATGACAAAATACAGTGCAATAGAAAAATATGTCCACAATGTAGATTTCACACAGATGGCTATAGTCGTACCAGATTTTCGTCCAATTTTCTTTCAAATTATTTTCATTGCTAAATAAAATATTTACATAATGTAATACAATGTAACAGGATGGCAAAATTATGAATTTTAAAAAATATATTGATATTATTTACGGTTACTATTATTGATATACGACGTATCTATTATGTATAATTTCGTTGGTTTTTGTTTTACAAAAGTTTGCGTTAATTTGAACAAATATTAATGCATTTCAGAAAACTATTGCATTTCAAGATGTCTGAACAATAAGAATGTCTGCTGCCTACTTTCGTGCACGAATCACTGCCCTGATCTCGCTATATACAATGAAAGGCTAACAATTCAAACATTAATGTCTATACATAAAAAGACAGGTGCAGTGACTATTACCCAACTGCTAAGGTACGTCTTGAATTAGGACCAAGCTGATCTGAAACAAACCAACACGGTAGGACACAGCACGACTCGAAATAATCAAAAGTTCGAACAAAACACATAAACAGCAAAGATGGACCATGCTGTCCTTTGTCCCCGCTGTCAAAGCGTTTGACATGCGCAGAGATGGGAGGGGGCGGAGCTTAGTTTTTTATATTGGAGATATTTGAAAAACACCCACAAAACTTGACGTAATGTCAAAATGTATTTTGTTGACCGCACAAAACAAACATCAGCGACGTCCGTTCGCACCGCTGTCCTGATACGGCCTGTATGGTTGAAGATACAGTCTGTTGACAAACAATGATATGCAAAGTATCTATCCTTTTACATAGACATCAATTCATTCTTAAAAACTCTTTTCCCAATATAACTGCTGGAGCAACTGAAATTGTACTTCTCTGTACAATTTTGGGATGCATCAAATTTTGAATTATTTTGGGATTGATATTTTTCACTTTTTTTGAAAATGCATTGTTCTTCCGCGATAGATGTATAAGAATCTTACTATCCTGTAGATTATCTGGATCTGATCTTACGCAGACAGCCAGAGGGCTCTGGAATCATGTGATACCGGCACCGCAACATGTGACGGAACACCTCCTTGAAGTGTGGGTGCTTGGCCCCGTAGATGATCGGGTTGACAGCGCTGTTGAAGATCACGAGCGTGCCGGTCCACGGGATTGCGGGATCGCTGGGTGGTATCATGAGGGCGATAGCAAAGGGAGCCAGGCAGGCGATGAAGGCACAGACCACGTAGAAAAGGTTCTTGGTGATCTCAACTTGCCGCTTACTGAAGCTAGGTGATGTGTTCTTCTGTAGCTGAGTAGTACTACTCGTAGGACTGGACCCTGACCGTTCACTCATCTCCACATTCTTGCCCATCTTCTTCAAGTGGCCGGTAATGTGGCGGTAAATCTTGACGTAGCACACCACTAGGATGATCAGTTGGATGGGATACGCGAGAACAGAGGCGATCAGGCTTAAGAGATCACTGGTCTCCAACGAGTTGTCTTGGTTACAGGTTTTGTATTTCTCTGAGTATCCAAACATTCCGATCCCGAAGAAGGTCAAGGAGCAACCGAGACATGGGTATGCCCAGGTGAAGAACAGCATGATTATAATCTTTTTGGGCGTGTAGACGGTGCGATACGTTTTCAGTGGCTTGGTAATGAGAACATACCGGTTGATGGCGATAGCGACGAGGTTCATGATACTGGCTGCGATACTGAGAAAGTAAAGACCACCCATGAAGGAACACAGGAGAGGTGGCAAGGCCTTGGGCCAACCGCTCAAGCTGAACAGAGCCACGGCGGTGAACGGAATGGAGCCGCACGTCAACAGGTCAGCTACGGCCAAGTTGACGACGAAAACGTTGGTGCGTGTCTGGAGCTTCCTGGACAAAATGACCGCCAGAATCACCATGAAGTTCCCCGAGAAGCCGACCACCGCCACGAGGCTGTAGATGCAACCGACGATGATCCTCTGGACAGGGTCTTCAAAGCGAAAGTTTCGGCCGTCACCTTGCGTCGTGGTTTCCATCACGGTTGAACTCGTCATATCCGAAGCGACGCTTACGCCGGTCGCATGAACTGCTTCGGGTGTCATGAAAGGTGATGACAACAGAGTTATCATGGATGTCACATTTTCCGACATCGTTTCACTAGTCATTTGGGTCGTCATACCGAACATGACGGTCACTTTGGTTACTAACTCGACAACTTTTGCCGAATTTATAGTGCCACTCGACAATACAAGGACTACTGAAGTTCGCTCTGCGAAATCCATCCTATTAAGTTGCGGTTGGAAGGATCAACCTCTCTTTGCACTCTAACGGATATCACCACAGGCTTGATGGTGGTTTCACATCCGCGGTATTACCTCTAATGTTCGCGATTCTTTATCTGCGGTGGGTTTCAGTCAATTTCAGGGTAAGTAAAACTTCCAATAATAAACACCGGTCCCTGGCTTACTTTCTATGCTTTATTCCCCCAGAAGTTTTCTTGTGGTTTACTCGAGTGTGGTACTTGATGTGTGCCAGAGAACCCTATTTTTCTTTCGTGTCTACTTTCTTGTCTCGCTCAGTCACTGAACTATTTTTTTCCTTTTGACAGCCGTCTATCATGGTATGATTTTTTTCTGCATGTGATCTCTGCAGTGAAAAGAGAGGGCGTTTTTCTTACGCAGCACTGTTTTCGTGGCGTGCCGTTTTTGCGCCTTTCAACTTTTTCAAAACCTGAAAAAGAAGGAAACTTCTCAAATATTTTTATATGAACAATATAAAATAAATATTCACGCGCTATCTCAGGTGCACCAAACTGTCTAATCGATATAAGGTACTATATACAGGTCCAAAGGGGAAAACCAGAGGAATATTTTCAGCAGAGGGTGGCGGTGTGGCTGGAGGATGGGCCTTTTCAGTTGTGAGGTTAAGTTTGGAAGCGTTTTTTTTTACACGATTAAGGAGAACATGGCGACAAAATAATCAAAAACTACTCCCATTCCCTGAATCTCTAACAATGTATAGACTGACTCAAGCTCATCAAAGAAAACAAGACAAAGGAAATAACAACAAAACTGAAAACAATTAATCAAAAACAACAGAAACAAAACAAAATAAAACAAAAACTAAACAAAAATGAAAGACACAAAGGAATAAGCAACACCCATATGCCCCAACCAACAAACAGACAAAAACAAAGAGCAATTGTGCCGGTATCCGGACATTGGTTTAACTGGGCTTTTGCCAAATCTGACAAGTTTATTTGGTTGTTTTAATCTTTTTTTGGCAAAGGATTGAGTATTTCGAGATAAAGCCATGGCAAAAAACTAAAACGGACAGGACTGTATCGAGATAGGACTGGGCAATTGACATCTTTGCAAAGACTGATGTCGAGGGGTGGTGTAACAGAACCTGCTACCTTAGTTGGAGTGATATCGACCCAAAAGTCTATTTTGAGAACTATGACAATACATAGCACCACTGCCCGACATCCTGCATTATGCAATTACCAAAAAGAAGGGAATATCCGTTTTCTTGAAATGAACACATGTTCTGAACTGATTTTGGAATGAACCTGAGCAACCCGAGTTCAACTTTGAATTCGAGGAAACCAAGCAGTGTTTGTTTTACTCTACTGGGCTCTTATCAAATTGGTTTAATTTCCCACTACATGTAAATGAGTCAGTCGACAAATGATGATCATTCCAATTCAAATAACTGGAATAAGTTCATTATTTTTCTTTAAGCCTATCGAAAGCTGGTAATTGGTTAATGAAGAATGTAGCGTGTTTTTGGCACACATATTCTGTTTTGGTTTTGCCGTCTACTTTGAAGTGTGTTTTCCACCATTTTTTCGTATTATGTGCTCTCTGATTCGCTGCCACTTTGTCATACAGGTCATTGGTACATTTGTCACCTTTCAACTTGACAAGGTCTGAATATTACAAGATATAAACACAGCATGGAAAGTAAAAACTTCACAAGGCAATAACAAAAAATCGTGTACATTCACCTTACAAGCAATATTTGAACGTGATGACCGCCATCCAATTTGCGTCAGTCTTTGGCATAGTACAGTTTTCTCGATCGCTCTAACACAACTACCACAGAAGTGTCGATAACAAGAAGAGCACTATTCACCACTCTCCGCGCCTTGCGAGGGAAAATTGTTTCTTTCATCCCCGTTTTCAATATACATCAAACGCGGTTTTCATCTGGATGCATTTTTATCCCAACTAAAAGTATTCCGTGGTTATACTGAAAGAAAATACACGAACCTCTTGAATCATTGGCATAAACACAAGCAACATAATGCAAGAGACTTCTGAAGTCACTTATTTATTAATTAAAGGTACTATGGAAGTACA